ACTGCTTCAGCCTCTTCACCATCAGACGATGAYGAATTATCCTCTTCTTCTTCCACAACGGAAGTGTACTTCCGAAAACCATTTCTTTTTCTTGTATGACCCAAATCATACTCCTTATGGTCTCGGCTGTTGTTTATATAATTTGAGGTATTATTTCTCTGAACTTGATTTCTTTCTTTCCTTGTTCTTAAGGATCTCCTTTGCTGTCCATTTTCTTCACTACTTGATTCTGCATAGCTCTGACCTTCGGTATTATTTTTATTGTATTCCCTGGCATATCCCAAAGGTTTTCTAAACTTTGAAGAATCCTCAACCTGAGTGTTGGTTCTTAAGACATCTTTGCTAGATTTCACAGCATCACTTTCGTCAATATCATTGGGATTACGGCTATAAATAATAGTGCCATCACTATCATTTTCTGCATCCCTCATTTGCTTTCTACTTCTGGCTAGCTGGTGATTCTTTTCTAGGACAACTTTGACAGGCTTACAAGGGTTTGAGGAAATTCCGTTTTTTTCCATCCTGTTCAAGTTAGTGAAGCTCCCTTTTTTCTGAGGTAATTTTTGTTGGGAAGATTTAGAGCTAASATCATCATCACTGAAAGAAATGTTCCTTTTGACATTTTCTTTTGTGACCATGACAACACCATGATCATCTTCGTCCTCCTCATTATTGGCAGATTCTTCCGTCGATAACTCTGAATGCTGCTTTCTTGTGCGTTTTAGTCTTGTGTTACTCTGTGTTTGYGGTYTCTTAGACTTAGGAATCTTAGCTGTACTATCACTGTCACTCTGTGTTTGTKGTTTCTTAGACTTAGGAATCGTAGCTGTATTATCACTGTCACTTGGCCTCCATGACTCCTCGGATGGAACAAGTTTTGGTCTCAAAACCCATGGAAATGAAGACGCATCACTTTCAGTTTGTGAAGTCCAAGGTTTTTCACTGGAGTCTTTAGTCTGCTTACTGCTGCTGTAAGACGTACTGTCTGTTGAATCACTTTCAGTGCTATCAAGTGAGCTTGTYACTTTGCTCTTCATATTTCTTTTTTGTGACTTTTCCTTGTTCCCCTGCAGCATGGTTCTCTGATTTTTTCGGGGACTGCTAGTTTTAGTTATGTTATATTTAGCAACTTTGGGTGTCATAATTGTTGATTTCAGCAAAGTGGCACTTTTCTTCTGAWTGGGGAAAGAAGGATAAAGAAAAATTAAAGAAAGGGGAAGCCTTAATTCCAATTATGAGAAAACAGTCTTCCAAGGGGGCCCAAAGCACTTCCTCAGGCATATCATAGTATTGGGTGCTGTTACTATGTGCTGTGTGACTCATAACAGTCCTTGATTGTGAAAACCTTTGATTCGATAAACATTCTGCACATGAAATGGGAGGTTCTTAATATAATGCATTTCACATCCTCTTAATACACATTTTATGACCAGTGTAAGGACTTTATGGGCTGCATATTAGGGCACTATTAGCAGCCATGCACCTTACAATCATGAGTGAATTGTTAGTACATTAGCATTATGTCAAATTGGGATAAGGCTGTTGAGCTGTGAAACAATCCCCTAATCTTACACAAATGATTCAACGGGTTCTTTTATGTCCCTCATTTACAGGTCAAGCATGTATGGGAGATGACTCGAAGGTCTTACCATTTGCAGATGTAATTACAAAGGCAGCACCTTCTCCTCATTTATTTTAAGACCTTGAGTGTTGGTCTGGCCGCTGTTTAAACTACGACCTCACGTACAACAGACAAATGTTCTTTCCAACTKAGCTAATCGTCAAATGAAATAAGACTCACATTACCTTAGGTAGCTTTAGRTCAAAGTCATACAGTCCAACAGACAAAGCGGTGTGTTCTTCTCCTCCTGGGTCAATGGCAGTGAGGTTATGTTGTCTGTCTGTCAAAATTCTTTGTCCTCTCCACCAGGCMAGAGGAGGTTTGATCAGACGACCACTACTGGTACGCTGTAACCCAAAACACAATACACAGATTATTACAGGGTGAATTGAAAAATCATGGGCACCTAGAAATATTCTAGGAAATCAATGTTCTATTCTTCTTTGGCCAATTACAATTGACTTTCTAACCACAAGATAATGGAAAGATAACAATAACGCTTCTGATTGGCTAATGAACATTGAAATATTTCTCTTGCCCACATTTTTTCGATTCGCACTGTAAAGCATACTAGCAACAATAAAGAAACTGGCAACAAATAATGGAAAGAGTGAGCATGAGTATTGTAWGTGGGTGAGAGTGAATGAGCAAATGAAAGTGAGTCAAAGTGGCCGAGTCGGTAAGTTTGTATAAAACATTCTATAACATTAATTTTGATTCTAACCTTAAGCTCTACTTCAATTGGTTTAAAACCTGAAACACATAAAGAATTATGACAAGTGTGCTTACAAGTCAAGGAAAACAAAAAACAGTTTATTTTACCACTAGAGCATTCGTGGGTTGTCAGTAGGGCACTGTTAGGGAGTCAGTAGAGTGATGGTAGGTTGTCAGTAGTGTGTCAGTAAGCTGATAATAGGGTAAGATAAGGTGATGGTAGTATATAAATAGGGTGTAACTGGTAGGTGGACAGTAGTGTGTGACTGTGTAGTGTGGTTGTTAAGATTATCATTATGTAGCATATGAATAGACTGTTGGTACGTAGTTTGAGGGTTTGTTGTTAGTGAGCTATTAGAAGTGAATTAGTGTCAGTAAATTGCTGCTCATTCTATAGCAATAGTAGTAATAATAATAATAATAATAATAATACAATAATAATTTTAATAACATATTCCACCCTACCATCATTTTTAGGAGTTTTTAGTGTTTTAGTTGTAGGTTTTCTGTTTATTACAGATATTTGTCTCTCAGATGATTTCTTTGCTTTCTGTGGTTGTTTTCCTTTTGTTGAGCTAGATAAAATATCATGACAGAGGTAGAGATTAGTCAAAAAATATAGGGAGAAGAGAGAAAAGGAGTAAAATAAGGGAAGAGTAGGATGAAGAAATGAAATAAAATATAGAAAAGAATAGGAGGATTAAAGGAGGAAGAATGCGTTGAGCTAGAAATAATATGACGGTGGTACAGAAGGACAGTTTACATGATTCTGATTTGAGATTAAGCAGATTTTCAATATACACAAAATATATTTCATACCTGGCATCTAAAATGGAATCAAAATGTTCTTTTACAAGTTGTTCCCAGTTGGAAGGAAACCCATTTGTGAATGCCTCAACAAACTGCTTTGAAAACCCTGAACATTACAAATATAACAAATATATAGAGATTATCACATGTTAAGAACTTGATATCGTTTTTATTCACGAGTTTTTCCGTATCATATCGCGAACGAGCGAGTACTCGAGCGAGTGAGCGATATGATACGGAAAAACTCGTGAATAAAAACGATATCAAGTTCTTAACATATAATAATTTGTTTATTACACATTTAGGCTCGATATATAACACACACAAAATGTTTTATTGTCTTAAATATCCTTAACTGACTTACACCATTTCAAAATGTTAAAGAATTATGTGTTTCCAATTCAATATCATTCAAKATATTAAAGCTTAATTAAAAATGTAAGAAGCACAAAATTCATCTTGAATTTGATAGAAATAAACACTAAATAGAGATTTATGTGATAATGTGATTGGTTCAAGTAAAATATATCGCAAGATTTGATTGGACAGGTTACTGTGAAGTGATATCGTATCACTTCACTGATATGGTTTTTATTCACGGCTTTATTTCACGGACATCGAGCTTAAATGTGTAATAAAACTTAATATGTAGGATCATATGCTGTGATACAAAGAAATAATAAGGAAAAAATTTGACTTCTTTCAAAGGGTAGTCCTTTATTGCGAATCATCATCAAAATCATGCACCATAACATCACACATCACAGCGATCTCATAAATAAACACCATCATCTTATTGTTACCATATACAATCATTTCCTGTATTGATTTAGCTGATTGCRTCACATATGTTGTAAGCACGTGCTAGTATGCTATATGGCAGATTAAACATAGCCTCCATAGTACACAGACCATTCTAGTTTATGGAAGCACTGGTGGCGTGCRCTGCTAATGCGCCRCCTCTCACCAATGCGGCCCGAGTTCGAGTCCTGCYGATCTTGATGTTGTATGTGAGTAGAGTTGTTTGTTGGTTCTCTCCTGTGCTTCGAGGGTTTTTCTCYGGGTCCTCCCTCCTCAAAAATCAACTCCTAAATTCTAATTCGATCTTTGGGCTTTCACTTAGTTTGAAGCCTAGCTCTGTTGTGATTGTCCCATGCTGTGATACAACAGCGAAAAGCTTTGTAGATTATGTCTTGAAACACTTATTATCTTAATCATCAACATGTATCATCATCATCAGTGTCATCCATCATAATAATAATAATGTCTTTATTAAAGAAATGATAAAATACATATCATTAACGTGATTACAATCATAAAACTAAAAAACKGATTAAAAGATACTAATTACTAAAGATTATTCTATTTACAAATGAGKTTTTAAAACGTTGAGAATTAACTCTAGGTCTAATAAAATATGATTTCCTTAAATTATATTTGGACGTTTGTATTTTAGGCGCTATGCTACGCAAAGGATGGTCACTACTACTAACTGATTTCTTATATAGCCTTGTGTCAAATTTATTCAAAAGATCCTGGATATTATAATGGTATGTTGTATAATTTCGTTTGTAACAGCGATCTAAAAAGTTTTGTACGGTGGTAAGCTCCGGAGGTGATGCTCCATAAACACTAAGACCATAAATTAGTTTTGATATAACAATTGTTGAAAATAAATGGTCAACTTCTTTTTGTGTATATCCTTCCTTATGAATATATCACTACAACTATATTTAATAAAATGAAAAAGATTATTCATCTATTCACCTTGAATATAAATCAAAGATTATACTTATTCATTAGTCTTGTGATTGTGGCAGTTGAGAGGACTGTAGCATTTAGACTGTTAGTCTTTGTCAGGCGAAGCATCACAGTCCTCCCAACTGACACAATCATGAGACAAATGTATAAGTATAATCTACTATATTAATTATATTTTTTTATTCCCACCTTGTTCTATAGTGTCTTTAACCAGTATCTTTCCCTTGAGTAYATATTGTGACTTGGGCTTTGTTTCAACCAGGAAAGGAGATATCCTATTAACTATTGYAGTGCTGTGCCACAGTTTGCCTACTGGATCTTCACTACAAGCAATAAACACACAAAACCCCTCAATCTTTTACACAATAGACCTTTCATGAAATTAACCCTGGTTACCATATGTCGGCAACACCCCTGCTACGCCACCAAAGTTCCTACCTGGGATGCTATTCTGATGGTTGAAATGTAATACCGTTATGGCAAAAAGTGAACACAAGTAACACTTATAAAAACAATTTTTTGGCAAAGTAATAGATCTATTGGATTTAGTTTATTTTATGAACTTAGGCAGGGAAACCCCACCCCACATCGAAAATCTCAACTATTAAACCCCCCCCCCCCTTCCAAAGTACAAATTGAAACCAACTAAATACAATAAAGTAATGATAAAAAGGTAAGTTATACACAGTGAAAAGATGACGTACTTACATGTGATCATTAATAATAATTAAATATGGATCAGGGTTTGAGCAAACTCAAAACTCTTCAATTCCAGTAATTTTTTTGATATTAGTTATTAACTCACCGTCTTTGACCTTCAACAATAATACTTGGGCCATTTTTTGCTTTGTTGGCTTTAATGTACCATCCAAAAAGATGATGAGCTTTCTTGCTTGGTTTGACTTTAGATGGTGACTAAAGCAGAGAAACAGAGTAATGTTATACACATAATAATGTAGTACTACTGTAAAGATGAGATGGTAGAGCATCGGTAGTACRATTCCGAAGGTCGTGGGTTCGATTCCCAGCGAGGTCGGAAATTAATTTTTCCGAATTCAATTCCAAGGGCTTTTGCCCGGAATAACCTCGTTCCCAAGCACTATAACTTATCTATATTTCTATATTTTCTTTTAGTACTACTGTACATGTCTTGGATTGAATAGAATTTAGTTTGTTAGGTTTTGCTGAAGGACGAAAACCAGAGAACCAGGAAAAAGTCACATTTTGATGCCAAGTCCAGGAAATAAACCCAAGACCCCAAAGGGTTTTTTAAAATTTAATTTMATCAGGACTTTGCACAAAGCAAGCATGCGTTTTCTATTTCTTCACTTACTTGAGCTGGGACAGGTTCTTTAGTTTCATCTTTGTCAGGTTTTTTTTCTGGGGTATCTGAAATCTCAGGAATATCACATTCAGGAACCATATTACAATCCATTGACTCCTCAGCTGATTCATGAGATTGTTTTTGTGTTGATTCAATATGTTCTGTTCTTGCTTCACTCTGTTGGTCATGTTCTCCAACGTCGACATCTTCATCTTGGACTGTTGCTTCGGCAACATCAGGTTCTCCAACACTAACTTCATCATTATTTTCTTTTCTTAATTCTAAAATAAATCCTGGTGAAACCTGGCAAGGACCGTTCGATGTTATGCTCCTAAGACCACTTCTTGTGACGATGCTGTCAGTGATCGCATCACTACAGCTTTGCATCTGTCTATCGTCATAACCAGAGTCAGCATTGAGGGACATACACAGACCATCTTCATTACTCGTACTTTCTTTTCTATTTATAGGAGTTCTTAATTTATTGATAACGTCTGTGACTTGAGTTCTTAGTGAATCTTCCTCATGACTGGAAGCCTTTAATGGGCTAAACCACGAAGCTGGCTTGAATTGGCTGTCTTGACTCCTTGGTTTTTGACCACTTTTAAAGAATTCCAGCATGTTTACAAGACCAGAGTTCATCAAGTTGGTAGTGTTTTTACTAGGATTGCTGGATAACGATGGGGTTTGTGCAAGTGACTCATGAAGAAAGCTTTGCTGCTTGTTTGGAGAGATAATCCTGGATCTTGAGTGTGTGAAGGACAATGATTGGTCTACTGTTGAGACCAGCTCCTGAGAACAGTTGCAAAGTATTGCAGCATTAGAATTGATTGGCAATAAAATGTACATGTAATAATGAAGTAGTTTTAGTATGACTCAAAAGTTTTGTGCTGTGTGAATGCCTTGTTGCAACTGTAGTGTTTTCTAAAATTCAAGGTCTGTGAAATTTCAAAGTTTTTGTATTTTTGAAGTTGTGCACAAACCAATATGGCTAAATCAATGTTTTACCCAATTCAAATCTACTGGAAATACTTTTCTTGTCCATTATGTACTGTATTTCCATGTCAATGATGCGTTGATATGCGTATGATATGTAAATATAATAGACAAAGAAAAGTTTTTTCAGTAGATTTGAATTGGGTAAAACATTGCATTAGCCGAATTGGTCTATTTTTTTGGTTACCATTGGTATATGAATGTTTCAAGGATGGACACTAAAATGAGAAGTACTCTGTATACACCTATTTTGAAGATCGTTGTCACACCTAGAGCCTCAAGTAACAAGCCAAGGCTCCAGAGAACGTCAGTACTTTTAATTATAATCTATTTATTCTTGGTTCATGCAAGTGGCTATAAATCTCCACTAATTATCATCTCAAGCAGCCTTGCTTGGAGCAATTTGTGAAGTCAATAAATGAAAATGCACCATGAATAAACTAATTACAGCTAAAAGTACTGGTGTTCTCTGTGGTCTTGGCTTGTTACTTGAGGCTTTTGGTCCGACAATGATTTCTGAAATAGGTGTATATAAACAAGTCTGTAACCAAGGAACACAGTGGTATTTGACTAATATTATTTGTTAAAATTAGTCCAAAGCCAATTCAAAGATGATCTAAACTAATTAATGATAATAATAATAATAATAAATAATAATAATAATGATTTTTTTTCACAGTCTAACACAGGAATCCCAGTAAACAGCTAGTCACTTACATAAATCCCAAACACGGATCATACTGTTATGTACTTTTATTATGAAGAATTAAAATCAAATAAATGAGTTAACTACCTTAGACTTGACATGAATGAAAAAGTGAAATCATAAGATATTTTTAAGTATTTAAGCTTATTTCTCACAGGCATGTGTGGACATAGACTAGACTTACAAGTAAACTTATTAAAGCTTTACTTTTTAGGTTGGTAAGTCCTTCAACTCATTTTTAATTGAACCGTATTCCTTAAAATATATTTCTAAAATGTATTTATGCCCAAAAGAATAGAAAATAGAAGCTTACCTGAGCTCTAGGACTTGCTAAAAACAGTTCTTCGAAGCGTGAGTTAGATCTTGACGTAGACCTTGAAGACGAGTTTAGAGTCTCATCTTTTCCGTTATCTCGACTCGTTTGAGGATTAAAAGGTTTAAAGTTGAATATAGCACCCGACTCTACCAAATCCATTGCTAACTACGTGATGAAAAACGATAAAATAAAACGCATTTTGACGGAGAAAAATCTGTAGTCATTCAAATGCTTCGCGCGCCAAAACACTGCTTCGCAATGGCGCATAAAATATGTAGAACCTCAATTCTGATTGGTCCGCGTTATAATTATTCTTTATACTAGGAAAACGAATATTCTGCTATAGATATTACTAGTAAAAAAAGACGACTATATTTTAAAAAAGGTCATTCTATATTATCAAAAAATAACCTTATGGGATTTAAATCTTTCGCTGCGATCCTATTCCCAAAGCTTTAAAAAACCAATCAAAAACATCGTTATAGTGATGTTTTATAGTACTTCCGTGAACAGGGACGCCTGACAGTTTTCTTCTTTCCAAGAACCCATCTTTGAGAACTCAAACAATATTTAATATCTTTGTTGCGTACAGCTGTAAAAGTTTAGTGGAATATCATTTCCACACTTATTGTTATCAAAATTGGGAATATTTGGTCGGCGTTCGAAGCTTTAAGGAGCTTCTCATATCGTTGGATACCCGGTTGGATAATGAACCAGAACGAAGATACGTCGAAGTACTCGAAGGTTCAAAAAGAAAATGAGGAAGCACAAGATAACTTCACTGGTATGTCTGAAAAGTTTCCTAGAAATTATGTTTTATTTTCTCAATGAACTAACATTTCCATGCTTTTTTACTCCAAGTTTCTCCTGTTTTTGTTGTTGTTTTAGAAGAGCCAAGCGGGAATAAAGAACCTGAGTGGAAAAAATACCAAAAAATGCCACTAGAGAAAAAGAGGAAGTATTACGAATGTGGTGAAGATTATGTACAGATAAAGGATATCGAAAAATGGTCAGAATTTTACCAAAGCGATRGCTATCACTTCTCCAAAATCCAGAAAAGTAAGATATCTCACAGCCTGGAAAAGAGACAAACAGACTCTAAAAGTATTTATCATTTTCGTGGCATTAGAAAGAATGTCAAACCCCCCCTTCCCTCTTCTCCCTTCGCTCAGCTTTCTTTGGTGTGTAGGGAGGGGAAAGGGTGATCCAACTACCTTATCACAAAGCATTATAGCAGCTGTAGAGGACAACTGACTTGTGGAGGGAGGTAAACACAGATTAAATCTCTTAAAGCACAGGAGAGAACCAACAAACAACTCTAGATCTACTAATATATGACACTGATCCGGGTGGGACTTGAATCTGGGTCGAATATTGGTGGAAGTCAAGGGCGATAAACATTGAAACAGCACTGAAAACTTGGCAACAAAAAAAAAAAATGCATAGGAAAGATTTTTTGTGACATGTTTTTTATAGCAATTTACATGTCAATGTACTGTTTTGTTAACAGAAAATGAAAGTGAAAAAACAGGTTATCCTGTTGATAAGAACATCAATGACAAACTCTCACTGTGGGTAGGAGATATCACAACACTGGAGATAGATGCTATTGTCAATGCAGGTGAGTAAAAATACCACTTATCTCTCCCTGCCCCCAAGGTGATACCGGTACCAAAGGTAAAAACCTGAAAAAACGCACTATAATAAAAATAATCATAATTATATAGATCTCTTTATTTAAGTGTCTAGTCGCCCTAGCACTTTYGCACTAATTAAAGACACTTCACTCACACATGCTACCACTACATTCAATGTTCTACGCACACAACGCTCAACTCACATGTTGATTTTTACAGAGGGAGGAAACCAGAGAAAACCCTTTAGCATAGGAGAGAACAACACATCAAACAAACTCAATTCACCTGTGGCAACCACAGGGCTCGAACCTGTGAACCTACCTGTTGGACTCACAGCGTTGAAAGAAAATATGTTAGTAGCTTATGACATCCACGCTACCCAAGCACTAAGGAAAGCACTATACTAGGAGAAATTTAATTGACAAAACATTTTTATTTGGTTTCAGCAAACAGTAGGTTATGTGGTGGAGGTGGTGGTAAGCATTTTACACATGGATGTGTTCTGTTAATAATTATCATCACCATTACTACCATCATGAATAAATCATTATCACAGTCAGTCATCATCATCATCATCATTTTTTACCAGCATTATCATGAATCATGAATATCATTACAATCATTAATTTCATTATCATTAACCATCACCATGTACGTAACATCAGTATCATTCAGCATCATGAATTAGTAATATAATTATAACCATCATCATCTGGTATCATCATCATCATCATAAATCTAACCACTGTCATTGTCATAATTTACAATTCTTGTGATTATTGTCATTACCACCGTTATCATCATTAATCATAACCTTCATAATCATCATTATCATTGTTGCTTTTACTATTTTTACACTGGTAATTTATTATTTTCATCATTTCAGTTGATGGCTGTATCCACAGGGCTGCTGGTCCTACCCTTCTTGAAGAGTGCAGATTACTGAACGGTTGTGACACTGGAGATGCCAAGATTACGTCAGGTGAAAATAACAGTGTTCTCTATACTTACTGTGTTCTGTGTACAGAGAGCTTTATTTATCCATTCATTCATCTATTCATCCATCCATCCATCCAGCCACCCAGCCACCCAGCCATTCATCCATCCATCCATCCATCCATCAATTCATTCATTCATTTCATACCACATTTCATTCTTTGTTTAGTTGTATCCATATTCATGTGTCTTATCATGTGCAGCTGAGCGCAACCATTAAACAAAGAAACGATAATCTAGGGAATGACAAGTAGTCTGAAATGGAAAAAACATTACGCCAGAGCTGAGGAGGTCTATTAGAGTGACAATAGTCTTGATAGGTCATTTTCAAGCCAGCACAATCCATCTGCCTTGAGCAACCTGTTATTAATATATTACATGGCATTAAATTCTTTTCAATGTTCTTTCTTCATCAGGGCATAAGCTTCCAGCTAGACGTGAGTATAATAATAAGTTTTTTCTAATATCAAAATTGGTTTTACAATATTTATTTTTATTCCCATTTTAAGCCCATTTATAAATGTTTTTTAAATTCATTTTCACGGTATTTCTCTTATTTTCATATAAAGATGTCATCCACACTGTTGGTCCTATCGGACAAAATGAAAAAGCTTTGGAAAACTGCTACAAAAATTGTCTAAAGCTTGCAAAAGAAAATAAAGTCAGAACACTGGTGAGTAGTTATTGTCTTGGGGTGCCTGTGGCGAGGAATTTTTCTTGAACTATGCAATATTCTCTGTTCTGGAACTCATTTCTTATTTTTATCATTTTAGGCTTTTTGCTGTGTTTCAACTGGTATCTTTGGTRAGTATGTTTTACCCAGTACAAATATTACGAGTTTAATTACTGTTGTGAAAGCCTGTGTTGCATTGCCCACTTAAGACACGCTTTTAGGACTGATACGAGCATTGCCTTTGGATGGACTGTATTTTGAAGCTTTCTGATTGGTTTAGAGCAGAACCCATTTAAATGTCAAATGACATCTTGAATATGTTGGCTTTCTGTCATTCATGATTTACTATAAATTGGAGTATTTATATAATATCATATATTATAAGTAATAACATAATAATAATATATAACTAAATATTTTTTATGAACTAGGCTATCCTAACAGAGATGCTGCTGAAGTAGCCTTAAAAACAACTCGTGAATGGCTAGGAGATGAAAGCAATGCTAATGCAGTAGGTTCAATGCTAAGAATGTATCCTCTTTATTTTACTCTCCACCTTGTCTTCTCTCATCACGCCCTACCTCATTGTACTGGCTTCCAATTATTTCTGCCCCGCCCTGCTAAATGTGCTGTGCCATCCCTCTGCCACTCCACCTTGTTCTGTTCTTTCTATCCAACCCAATCCCACGTTCACTCGTGCTTGGACCATTTTCACTTATTTCAATACCCTTTGCCATTTATTCCCATTTTTCCATAGTTTAATCTTCCACCTCATTCTTCTCCTTTTCCTTTTGTTATATACTTCTTTTTCATTTTATTTCTTAGCCTATATTACTGTTTTTCCATTTTCTTAGTCTTTCTCTTTCTTTTCTTTCCCCTCCCTTTTTCTCTTGCCTTTTTGGATTCCTCCCCCCCCCCCACGATTCCTCTTTTTCTCCTCATCATCTCCTTCCTTTCTGTTTCATATCTTTGCTGATTTTATCTTTGAATTATTTTACCAGGTTGACAGGATCATTTTTTGTTTGTTTTTGGAAAAAGACATCAACATCTATGAAACTTTAATGCTCAAGTATTTTCCACCAGGAGAACTCAAGAAACCTACTGAAACATCAGAAGAAATCCCAAATACACATACTAATTCTGAGAAAGATAAGAAAACAGGGATAAAAGAACCTGAGAAGAAAGAGAAAAAAGATGCAAAAACAGAAATCAAAGATAAAGATGACACAAAGAACAGTGACGAAAAATCAGAGAAAGAACC